GGGAATAGCTTTGGCCTAGTGAGAAAAAGAATTGGTTTGAGCAGGAGATGTCAATCATGGTATTTTTCCTCCTTATTCTTTAATCTTATATAGACAGATTTAAGGTGGTCTATTAGCGGATTGATTGACTGATTGATTGAAAGAAGCACTCCAAGGTGGGAATTCCCTTTGACCTCTTAGTTTATGGCATGTATTGAATGTTTATGGCTTAGGAAAAGGGACCATCAGAAACACATCAGAGCATCAAACAATAAAGTTCACCCTTCTTGCACTGGACAGTTTGTTCCCCCCTCCTTTTTGCCCCCTGCTTTGGTGCTGCAGTTTCCTCTTGTTATTTCTATACATTTATGCACTAGATCAGTCGTTATAGGAAAAGTAGTAGGCTGGGTATTGCTTCCTTATTATAAAACAGTGTTCATGACTTGAAATACAACTTGTAGGAAAGTGAGATGGCCTTATACAAGAAGAGATGGTCAGAAGCAGGTCAAATGCGGGCACAATATATGATCCAGATTTTAAAACAATTGTACAAGTTGAAACATATCCTGAAAACATAATTGTTCTGCAAGATGTATGCACTAACACACTGAGTTTCCTCTAGTTCACTACAAACTGTTTCAAAAGGGCGTTTCTTGTACATCCACATCTTTATTATTGCAAATAAAATTATCTGAAAAACCAGACCATTAGAAGTTAGTGTGCTAATTATACCCTGTGTATCAGCAATATATATAGAAAGCAGCAGAAACAACAAGGAGTCTGGTGGAACCTTGAAGACTTACAGGTTTTATTTGGCATAAGCTTTCATAGACTGTAGTCCATTTCTTCGGAGGCACAGAGGATAACCTCAGTAAATATGAATGTCTGCTCATTGAGGCTTTGTACTCTATGAACTGGAAAAAGTAGCCCACAGCCCCAGAAAAAGCATATGCCATATATGTATTCCATAAACAACAGCAAGGTTCTGAATGGGACATATCCATTTTGTGAAGTCCATTGTGTGCTGCACGCAATCATCCACACACAGCAAATCAAATGCTTCTACCATTGAAATCACCAATTGCCCACCTCACAATAGATGTTGATCGAAATAACCATTCATGGAAGACATCTAATTCTCGAGTCATTCTTCTTCTTTTAAATGGAGCATCTGCTTTTATTAACACAACAAATTTAGATTTGATGCTTATATATTCTTCAAATGATAGTTTGTGGGTGAGCCCTCTATCAATTCATATCCTATTTCTCAATCTGAAAGTACTTTTTCCCAATGCTTTGATATCTGCAGCTTGAAAACAGGAGAGACTGTAGTAAATAAATAGTAAGCATGCAAAGAATGACCCATGTTCATGCTGGAAAAGTTGAATGTCTGCTACAGCCTATATGCCTTATCTTCTCATGCTGAGGATAAGCATATTCCAAAAGGAGCAGGTCCTCTGTCTATTAAAAGGGTAACCTCCCTATGACTCACCTTTATATTCATTCATTATTTGCTCCCATTAGCTTAGATAAATTTCAATGCCACTACAGAATGTCACTGGAGTGACTTCATTTTTCTTGGTATTACTAAATAGTAAGAAGCCCCATCCTTTTGGGCTTTATTTCTTTCCCTTATTGCTCAACAATCCTCTATCAATTCAGTTTCTGACTCTAAATGCATGTGCTCGTATAGTAGGGAAGTCAGGATAGGGAGATGACAAATTTATTATATGGTGGTGGGGTTGCCACAAATACATTAAAGCACCTGAGTCCTGTCCTGATCAATATGGAACATTGTTTGTTGGGATGGGGAGCGGGGAGAGCATAGTTATGGTTTACATGTCAGGTTAAAAAAAAAACACCGGGGAAACCTTCCTGTTAAAGCTGTGTTTCCCATATTCCTTCTTCCCATTTAAATTTTTATTTCCAATGCATAGTTTTGATAGCAGAGCTTATCCACACATGACCTTCCTATAATTTGTTTCTTGTCACCTGTGTTTATTTCCAGTCCAGCATAAATTTCATTAGTAGTCCACAGAGTTACTAAAGAGTACAACTATATTCGTTGTGTGGGTGTGTGATTACAAGGCAGAATGATCTAGTATGTAGTCTGCCATCACTTCTGTCCTAGACAGATTTATAGAGAGGTAATTTCCTCTTTTTATAATACAATTTACTTTGGCTGCTGCTATACCGTCACTGTTATATTTGTGAAAAATGTGTTACAGTGTGTGTGTGTCATGCATGTGTGCATGTATACATACATGCACATGAACATGCACCCCTGTACAGTCCTACTCGGCCACCTCATCATGGCATGGAGGTGACCCCGACTTGTCAAAAGCTGAGCTAGTAGAATACAATCTCTGGCAGGTTCCACCAAGATGCAGATTCTCTATCAGTCAATGGTAAGTATGGAGCAGCTCAGCAACAGAAAGAGGGCTGATGAACGATTAGCTGGCCATGGCAATGAAACATGGAAGAGTTGCAGTTGGTGGAGGGACCGTGTGCATCAATGATATTGCTAATGTTATTATCATTTCTCTCCTGTTCTCTCTCTATAATCATAGTGCTTTCCTGAAGCATCGAGAGACATCATAACAAATCACACCCACATCACCTGTATTCCTAATTCATCCATTCAAAATACATATGCTAGAATCTAAAGTGCAGCATGTAGAATGTTACTGCTTCTGTCCCGGGGGGGAAAAAATACTCTGGAAAGCTATAGGACTCTTCAGGAGACCATTTGTTGTGGCCTGAGAGGTTGCAGTCAGAAAAGGAAAGCAGCAGTACCTCTGTGTGGGCACACGGGTGCCTCTGGCATGGGAATCTTTCTGCCCATACTGTATAATGAGGGGAGATCAAATACAAGATCAGAAAAAGTAGGTCTTGCTTCCTTGTCTATGAATGTTTAAGACCACACAAAAATGATAAGTGAGCATGGAAGGAAATATGCTTTCTTGCATAAGAATCTTGTGCATGCAGGGGATGAGGTTGAAATGTGGGGGCAAGTCACAGCCGTTGGGTAGCTGAGTGCTACGCTCGCACCAGTCATCAATGCTGCCCATGTTATCCAGGTGCCCTGGGTGGTCACAATGGCATGGAAGTTGGTACCTGGCTGTAATACAAGCAGAAATGCTAATGAATTGTTTTTAAAAAAACAAAACAGAACTCAGCCGGGGATCAAATCCTGTATGATCCTGGCTGAATGATTACAGCGATTCCAGAAAAGCAAGCTATTTAACTGAGCATAATTCCAGGATAAAATCATCAGGATGAGAAAGGAAATGCCAAAGTGCATGAACTGAGTGGCACAAAAGGAGCAAAGGAAAAAATGGATTAGGGAAAGCTCACGTAAAGATGACTTGATCTTTTTAGCAAAGAACGTCTGGGGAGGAAAAGAGGAAGAAGGCAGACGTCAAAAACCCGTTGGACAAAAAACATAAGCTTCATGCCTTATCTAAGAGAATCAGAGTATGTGGGTCATGCCAGTTTTTATAGTCATAATCTACAGTCTTGCACTGATAAAATCAAATGTGACAGTAGCACAATATAAAGGTTTAACTGACAGCATACACAGCACATTTGCTAGTCATAATGCCACCGTTTAATGACTGATGCATCTGGGAGGCCAAATCAGATTCCCCTTTTTTCCCCTGAATGGGATAAAGGAGCATCCAGTTAATTCCAACCATGAATTCAAGCCATGTGACACACTGAGGCTGCAGACCTTGTTCACATTTTGCATATTCTGCAAAATGAACTGCAGGGAAAGGGCCACTTTGCACACAGCATCCGGAGAGAGAAAATTGATTCTGCGTTTTATACACCCACCGGTAGCAACTAAATGCACCCAGCAGTGCTATGTTTGTGTCGACAAAGCAGTTGGCTTTTCTCTGTTAAATAGCCTCACAACTACAAGTGGTAAATGCCTGTTTCAAGAAAAAAAAAGTACAGGTTATAGAATTTATACAAGCAGATATAGCATAAATAAAATAATTCATATAAAAATAGTCTCTTACAAAATATACTCTTTTATCCTATGGTTCCTTTCCCAAAGATGGAAACTTGTCTGGTGTTTTGCATGGATATGTGAGATTTGATTTCCAACTGAATTTTTGTAATGCTCCCTTTAAAAAAAAATTGAAAACTTTATGTACTGGCAACTACTTGGAGATGAATATTAGTCTGAGATTCCAGACAACTAGCAGCAAACAGCAAAAAAATAAAAAAAAAGTTTAAAAAATAAAAATAGAAAGATGCCTGCTTTTGTCCTTAGTGTCCTTATGATGGCAGAAAATTAACCTATAATTGCAACTAATAGAAATATCTGAGTAAACAATAATATATACACCTCAAGGTTTACCCCCACCTACACTTTTCGTATCTACAAAATTATTCCACAGGGGAAAAGAAAAAGCAGGCTATCGCTCTTAGTTGCAGAATGGTTCCAAAAGTGTTGGTAACGTTCTTTTTAATTAAATAAATTAATATTAGTTTTATCTGGATAAATTGTTAAATATTGCTATTATTACTATGCCCAGATCCCTGTGCTCAAATCTGCAGCACAACAAAAAAAAGGCAGAAAAACCAGTGTTTACATAGAAACATCAACATTTCTACTCGCAGTAGCACATGATCTGAAAAAAGAATGGAAAGACAAGAAAAGGCCAGCAGAAGCTTTTCCCAAGTGTAGAAATCCCCTCAATCTGCATAATCCACACTTTTTTTTAAGTTGAAAGTCACACTGGCGCATTGTCACCCCATTCTGTGCAAAGACCATTTTAAAGTATTGTTTGTTTCCCCCAGCCCTCTCTTTTTCGTATTGGCGGGGGGGGGGTGAGCTTATTTCATTCAGTCTCTCCCATCCAGTTGCAAAACGCTTATCACCAAAATATTGACATGTACTCCCCCCCCCTTAATGCAGTCAATCAATTAAGTTTTGAAGGTCCAAATTATTTCAGAATTTTTCCTCCTTTTTCCTCTTTTTTTTTTTTTTGGTGAGATGAGTTGTTCCTGTTTCCTCTTTCTTTCTTTCTTTCTTTTTTTTCCTTTTTAAAAGAATCCTCTTGTTTTGTCTTTTGAACTATTCCTCTAAGCCTTTGATCAGTATCGACATAACAGCTGAGTCTTTAAGAGAGGGAGATGAGAATCCATTCGGTGGCTTTTCCTGTGGGAAACAGTGTGGGTCTTTGCTACAATCTTGTGTAGGTACACTGAGCTTATGTGCAAAAAAAAGGCTTTATTCCAGGGCCTTAGGGTTTCCCCCTCCCAAGCCACATTTTCATTTACAGGTATACACTTCTGTTCGTTCACTGCATGTATTACATTTAACATAACAGCACCAATGAAATTTACAGTTGCACTGCCACACTCTTGAATATTGGTGGGTGTTGTAACCTCGCCCACAACACATTAGGTCACAGCCATTGGTCTGCTGTGCTGTTTTGTTGCACATTCTGCCCTGTGTTCCCACACTGCCGGTCACAGGATCCTCTTCACAGTAGTTAGGTGATTTCTCTATGTACACTAAATCGGTATCCATGGGTTTACGGTAGGAGAGTGGTTTCTTTATCTTCAGAAACGTTGGACGCTTATTACGACTTGCTCTCACTGGTTCTACCTGAACTGCTTCATTGTATTTGTCCTTCAGGATATAGCCCAGCTCCCTGAATTTTGGAAGAGTTGTCCAGCAGGTTTTAGTAGTACATGATCCTGAGACTCCGTGGCATTTGCATTCCAACTTCATGTTCTCTTCAAGGATCTAGATGGGAACAAAAAGAAGATGTTACATGTCAAGCAAGAGGAATGAGATAACAGAAAGGGTGATTGACCTTTTTAAGAATCTGGAACCCAATATCACTGTACTAAAATATGTGTTCCAATTATCTATATGGCTACAGTCGGATATAATCAAGAACACACCGTTTTTTAAACAACAGCAGTAGAGGCTAGGTCAAAGAAACACACATTGGTGCTTATGGAAGCCTTACACCCTGAAAAGCATCACTAGTCTTCCTGTTAATGAAAGAAGTGCATCTCATGTATACTTTATGGGAAAATGGATAAATCTTAACAGCTACTGTCACATATTGTACCTGTGTAAATACTGTACTGCATTATCATATAGGCAGGGAATGTTTCCAGCAATATTGTTGAATTCCATCTGTTAGCATCCGTCACCACTGGCTGTGGTGGCTTGGAGGGGTGCTGTCCAAGAACACCTGGAAAGCCACCTGTTCCTGATGGCTTATAGGAATAGGAATAATACAGAAGAGTGGCAGCCAAGATATTTATTGGTGGTTTTAAGGATAGCATAGTGTTTTGTTTGTTTGTTTTTTGTTTGTTTGTGTTTTTGCATTTGCAGCAGGGCGGGGGAGAGTGATTTTGGTCATATATAGTTCCAGTGTCTCAGGATCATGTACTACTAAAACCTGCTGGACAACTCTTCCAAAATAATTCCAATATAGAAATAAAGAAAATGGTACTAGAAAATGTATTTGTTGATTTAACAGAATTTCAACAAAACTGCTCTATTGTTCTCTTACTTTTTTACCCCAGTCTTAAAACTTTTTGTCTTTAAATTTCACATCTCTCTCAGAAACAACTGTCCAACTCATCATTTACGATCCTTGTCCAGCCATCCCTTGCTATTACATGGACAATGATATGGAAAAACAACAACAACAACCCCCAATACTAGAGCCATAATTAGCCATCCTGATGTCTGAAGCTTTAGCACTGCCAAACACATTCATTTTGACATGTTTCCACGGACAAGAGTAGAGTTCAGTTTTGTTTCTCTGGCAGATGCTACTGTAACCAACACAAAAATCACAGCACATACCGGAAATATTTGGGAATAGCGATACTGCTGGGCTCCAACACTATCATGAGCCTTTGAAAAGGAGGCAAATGGAAACTGGGCCAAGAAGTCTGCTATGGTTCAACCATCTGCACATGTGGTAGAGAGAAAAGAGGACTACACAACAGGGAGGCAAAGAAAAGTTGTGGACCACATGACTTAGACTCCATGTGCTTGCAAACTTCCAGGGGTGGTGCAATAGAAGGCGCAGATCTGAATAAGCATGCTTTTATATTGCCAGTTAATCCTTTTCTGCGATATTCTAAAGGGTGTATATAGTCAGAAGCCCTACACACGTGCATACTGTGATGTACTCAGGACTTTGGATTGAAGAATCACCTTTTTTGCTAATCTGTGGTGCAAACCATTGCAACCAGAATGTAATCTTGTAGGTGTTCTCCTGCTCAAGCGTTGCTACATCCTCTACAGATCTACCCAAATCAAAAAGAAAACCTCAGCAACAATCTGATATGTACTCATGTAAAAATCTCTAGCTAACCTGGGATAAATTGCCCTGAAGTGTAAATCCTGACCTTACACAGTGGTTTTGTAACTCCAGCTAACCCTGTAGCTTTGTTCAGAGCAGGCTACCCTTTTACAGCGCCCAAGTTCCTGTTCAGCCCCTGGACAGACAGTGACCACAGAGGGAATAAACAGCGCCATTAGAAAGAGCTGACTCAGCTCCAGCAGTGGATCAACAGCTGAAAGGACTTGTGGCATGTGTTGAGCTTGCTGTTCTTCTCTGTGGTGTATCTTGGATGCCAGCTGGAACCAGCATTGGGACTTTTCTTGTTTCAATCATCAGGGCTGGGCACCAGCTCTTGTGCCTGGTTTGCTGTTCATGTTAAAGTCTGAGTCAATCAATTTGACTTTCATGGGGAGAGGTTGCCACATAGTTGCAAAGCACGTATTCTGTATCTACCCTTCTCCAGCAAAAGGATATCTCGGCTACACGGGACTGGAGGGGAGGGTGTCTTTCCAGAGATTCTTGAGAGGTACCACTAAATCAGTGGTCCTTAACCTTGGGTTACTCAAGTGCTTTTGGACTGCAACTCCCAGAAGCCTTCAGCACCAGCTGTGCTGACTCTTGAGAGGTACCACTAAATCAAGGTAACAGACTATTTTTGTGTCCAAGCAGAATAGAGTGCCAGTGCCTAGTTATGCCTGACAGATGGGCAGAGTCTGTGAAAGTTACTCTTTTTGGACTCTAGACTCCAGAATCTGTTAGCTAGCATGACTACTGCTCATTTGGTAACAGTCTATTTTTGTGTCCAAGCAGAAGAGAGTGCCAGTGCCTAGTTATGCCTGACAGATGGTCAGAGTCTGTGAAAGTTACTCTTTTTGGACTCTAGACTCCAGAATCTGTTAGCTAGCATGACTACTGCTCATTTGGTCATCTGGACTGCGGTAACTGTAGCCCCCAAAATAAATTTTTCCAGCTCTGATTGTGTGCATTGCTAGAGACCCGTTTAAATGGCTTTAGAAAAAAAGGGCTTCCCATTATGGCAGACCTTCTCCTTTTCTTTTCATCAGTCCCCTTAGCTTAGAATTGTAGAGAAAATATTCCTCTCTGATTTTTTTCCCCCTGCACCTTGGTGATATGATGAAGTTTACAGGTGAAGAACAAAACATACATGGCTGGCTTCCAGGTAAGTTTTATTCACAATGAACATTGAGAAAATGCATTACTCAAGAAGAGCATTCCAAAGACAACCTATATTCCTTCCTCTCTGATTTCTTTTCCCCTGCACCTTGGTGATATGATGAAGTTTACAGGTGAAGAACAAAACATACATGGCTGGCTTCCAGGTAAGTTTTATGCACAATGAACACTGAGAAAATGCATTACTCAAGAGCATTCCAAAGACAACCTATATTCCTCTTTCTTGCTAAAGTTATTCTTATTCTTCTTGTTACACTTTCCTATCATCTGCTCTAGCGCTGTAGCACAGGATAGTTTGATACTGACTAGTTAATATTAGGAGCACAACTCTATGCAGACCCACTCAGAAATGAGTAGGGCTCAAAGGAAAGACCTGCAGTTTCGACCTGCAACCAGTGGGATTCTCATGAGTGAGCTGGAATGTCAGGCTGCTTTTTGACCCAGATTCAAGCCAGCATTCTGCTCATGCCCCTATTATGATTCCAGCACAGCCTGAATTTCTTGACTTGTTTGCCATAGGTAAAAACCCTGCAGTTTAAAAAATTCCAACATGTAATAACAACAGTGAAATACGGAGTCTTCAAATGCCATGTCTCATACCCTCCCCTCACATGTACACATGTACACAATCCCATGAGCAAAAACCAAGCAAGTGGCTATCCTAAATGCTGACAAAGTCTTTTCAAACCACGAAGGCTTCTTTTTCCCTGAAAAGAACCAATGGAAACCTACTTCTTCATCTCTCTGCATCTTTCCTCTTCCACATCGAACTACCTAACATTAAAACTGGTTCAGGATGAAGATGGGATGGGCCCAAATCAGGAAAAATGGTGATTGTTTTTGATTCATGATTCATCAAGGTTGTTGTTGTTGACAAATTATGAATTTACCATTTTTTTTTCTGATGAATCGACAAACTGATTTGTCAATTTGTTTTTGACTTTAAAACCCTATAACATTCCCCACAAGCACCTATAGACACCAAAATAAAACAGAACCTGACCCCTGACCGTCCTCTACGAGCCCTGCAAACCAGGTGAAGTTTGGGTTTTGGAACTCCAAGTTATACACCCACAAAGTGGGTTCCCACCCCCCAGGAAAGTGCCATTTAGCAGCTAGCTTGGAGAAAACTGAATTGATAAATTAGCGATCTTTGAATAAATCTGGTGATTCGTGTTTTTTTTTTATTCATGCCCATCTCTCATTGTTACTGTACAACTTGTTCAGGGGCACCAGTTTGGCGAAGTCTGGTAAAGATACAACACACAGGAAGTACGGAAAGGGATTTAGAACAGACAAGGAAGGAAAACATGGCTCACTTTTTAAATATAGTACTGTTTGTTATTCATTATGGTCAAATAAACTATAGTGGTTATAATCAAATACCACATTTGTTTGCAAACAATAATTTCATAGTCCATTATAGTTCTGTGTGCCCTTGCTGGATGAAGACCGTGCTCACTGAGATATAGCTAAGATCCCATATGTCAGGGGTCTCCTATTTTCCTCAGACTGAAGAAGCTATTTTGATGAGTAGCGAAAAGTTTCAACCTAATAAGAAAGAAGTCCAGTTGCCATGATTCAACTTCCAGATCCCATTCTCATATGTATTTTTTTTATTATTTAAAAGAGGCATGGAAATGTTTTTCCATTGTTGGACAATGTTGTTCCAAATGGCATCAATAAAAAACTATGAAGGAAAGGGCGCTGATCTACCAGATGCAGCCTATGGACACACACATCCTGACCATGCCAGAAGAGAGATGTTTAGAAGGCAAGCTCAGCAGTTTAGGTATCTGGCTGCGGAGCTAGAAGTTGGGAGTCTGATTCCCCGCTGTGCTTTCTGTGAGAAGACTATGAGTAGAACCAGCCTGTGTGGCCTTGGGCAAGCCAGTCCCAAGGTGGCCCCAGAAGAAGGGAATAGTAAACCACTTCTGAGTATTGTCTACCTGGAAAACGTTGAAAAGAGTCACCATAAATCAGAATTGGCTGGACAACACATGATGATTATTCAGCTCCAGGTGGTTCAAGGAAGAAAGTCAAAACATGCACTCCAGCAGATGATCCAACCTACACATCCACTGTGTCTTTTTGAAAGGAAATTGAGAAAGAGATGTGGAACTCCATTCTTACTTATTTCCATCCTTAATATGTTCATATCAATGAAAGATCCTGCTGTGGAGCCTGAATTCTTCCACATGGGTAGAAGAATTCAGCTTCCATTTTGTCTTCCATT